ATTACTGAGATAAGGAATCTGAATTTGACTTCTGACATCTGTGGAGTGACAATGGGAAACAGAGTCTGTCTGCTAGCTTGGATGTTATCTGACTGCAAAGCTCTTAGCCCTCTGAAAGGCCTGCCACAGCATACAAGCCACTCTTGAAGGCCAGAAGACCACTGGTCTCTGGAGCATGTATCACACTGGACAGGCTGCAGAACAATGGTGCACCAAGCCCAGAGCACTGTATAGGGGCAAAGCCTGGCTCTGAGCCCATCTCCCAGGTTTAAATTGGCTTCCACAAGGTCGAATGATTAATTCCTTGGACCGAGGGTAGTGAAGGAGCATAGAACCTAGAAGATGATGCCCGGGAGGGATTGCCTGCAAACCTTGGCTGAACACAGGGGCAGAACCGAGCCCAGCATGGGGACACTGGCTGAGGTTTCCTCCTTCAGTTGGCCTGAGCACCAGGGCACGTAGAATGTCAAACCCTCCTTGAAGGGTCTAGGACATGAGAGGGGCAGGCTCCCTACTGTGCTTGGAGGGGTTGGTGCTGTCTGTCCTGCCATGATGAAATTAGATTGCACAAGTGAAATCTGCTCTTGTTTCCTGAAAGTCCTTTTATTTTCTTTTCTGTAAACAAACCATACTTGAGCTCTAATCTGTGCTGAGATGAAGCATTTAACTTCTTCAAATCTTGACAGTTTTACAGTCTGAAGGTTGGGGACAGCTAGGGGGAAAAACAAGAACAAGAAGTCTCTTGAGCTGTGGGGTTACTTTTATTTTCCTTTGTAAGATGAAAGTGTTTTTCTGTGACCTGAAACTGTTGGATTTTCCTCTTTCCCCACAAAGTTTTTTTCTTTTGCTACTGATGTTGTGTAGGAGACAGTTTGTGTGAATGGCTTAACTTCTCAGGCCATCTCTTTAGTAAGGCTGCCTTCTGCCCTTCTCTTGCATAAAAAAATAGGTGCCATTTACTTCCACTGATGAACAGATGAGTGCCATCAGCTGAATTCAATTCATTACTCCATATACCTTGTATTCCACATGCTGCTATTGGAGCTATCAGATGCTGACAGGATAAGAGAAAACAGCCTCTAGTTGTGCTAGGGGAGGTTTGGACTGGATATCAGGAAAAAGTTCTTCACTAGAAGAGTTGTCAAGCATTGGAACTGGCTGCCTAGGGAAGTGGTGGAATCACCATCCCTGGAGGTTTTTAGAAGATGTGTAGATGTGGCCGTCAGGGACATGGTTTAGTGGTGGACTTGGTAGTGCTGGTTAATGGTTGGACTTGATGACCTGAAAGTTTTTTTCAACCTAAGGTTCTATGACTCTATGAAAAAACTTCCTAAAAAATGTTACTCTGCTTTGCAATGGGATCGTTTCTCTGACAAAGATGTTTCTAGGGCACTTGAGCAACCATTTTTTGGTACGTCTCTGGAAACACATCTTGGATGCTTCCTATTCAACCTGGACATTCCCATATTAAAAGCATGCAGATGTGTTTTTAGTTCGAATTAACAGAGATGGGAATGGCTATTCACATTAAAAACAATAAAAGGGATCCCAGTTCTGTAGGAGGGACTGTGCTTATGAATCCCATTCAGAGAGCAGGTGCTGTGTTTTGGTTTGCAGTATTTACTCAGCTCTGCCCTTTCTGGTATTTCTCTGAGATGTTTGTTTTTACCAATCACTAAATGATCAAAATAATGATGTTTGACTTTGCTGGAAGTGTGTTTCTTAGTGGTGGGTTTGCATTTGGAAAAAGTTGGTGATGTCAGTGGGTCTACAGGAAAAATCTAGCAGTGACATATTTAAACAGCCTTCCATTTGAGTGCAAAGGATTTCTACCACAAGTGCTGATTAGTGAAATTAATTTAATAGCACATAAACTGTGAAATTTCACTTGTATTTTATGCTTTTTTACTAATGCTTTTGTTGTGAAAACAAAGGAAAAATGTGGTATTTGTGATGCTGTCACATCTTCCTCTTTTCCACAATACTTATTTTTAGCAGAATTTAAAGACCATTCCTTATTAAACTCAGGCTTCCCTCTTGCCATAGTTTAAGCCCAGCCAGTAACTCAGAACCACACAGCCGCTCGCTCACTCCCCATTTCTTCCCTCCCTGCTCCCAGAGGGATGGGGAAGAGAATGGAAAGAATGTAACTCCCATGGTTTGAGATAAGAGCTGTCCACTAAGGTATAACACAAAACCACTGCTGCTACCACCAATAATAATAATAATAATAAAGGAAATAACAAGGGGAGAGAATACAATTGCTCACCACCCACCAACCAATACCCAGTTGAACTCAGGACAGCTCTTCAGGCTCCAGTGCTGCTTCTATCCATTTAAACATGGTTCTGGAGCATATATAGGTGAAATGCTGAAGGCCTATTAAAAGTGCACAAGAAAGCTTATTCCTATGGGGGATTTTGCTGTGAATTAGTGGGCTTATATTATCTGCTATAATGCTCAAAGAAAGAAGTCTTTTCTGAACTGTGACTTCAATATGTACAAGTCCTTCAACTTGTTAGTATCCTAAGGATGCATAGTACCTCTTCCCTTGAAGTAATGGTTTCCAAAAATCAAGAATGTGTGCTTAAGGAAGCTTTAAGTGATGGAAAAAATATGACTTCTGCCCTGATCAAAGCAAAACAAAGCACTTAACCACTACACTCTTTGTTATTGCAGTGTTCTCATAATCAGGGAGCTCTCTGAAGGAGAAGATACCGAGAGGCGGGATACCTAGAATAAGAGAAGGAGCTCTGACCAAGAATAGCATCTCGAGTTCAGCTGTCTAGCTAAAATCTAGGCAGCCCTGATGAAGCAATCAGCTGCTCTGGTTTCCTCTGTGGGTAAGAAGGGGTTATGATGCCTCCTTGCTACAGAATGGGAATTGAAGAGCTCCATCTGTTTCCCTGGGACTGATCATCTAAAAGCAGGGTTAAACCTTGTGGAACAAATGCAAGTGTGGATGTAACAGACTGGAGTTTCATTTTCATTGTAATATGGAAGAATGGCAGAGATATATATTAAAAAAAAAAAAGAAGAGCAAGCATGAATTTAAATGAAAGTGAACAGCTATTACAGGGTTGCTGGTAACAGTAACTCGATGCAGGATACATGATTAGACTAAGAGTAGAAAGTGCCCATCTGACTTGCAGAGAGACAGTACCTGCCTGAGATCTAGGACATTAACTTGGGGAAACAAGGTACAAATGGCTGTAATTATATTAATGATAGTAATGATATTAATGTTATTAATGTAATGGTAGTAATAATACTCTTCTCTGAATACCATAAAGACTTGTATGTAGACACATGGTCCTAGTGTCATCTGCATTTGCAAACCGTTACAGTAGTCCTGTTAGAAAATGCATGGGTAGGGTACAAATGAGCAGGATTTAAATCAGACCCCAAATCACAAAACATGTGGACTAGAAACCCCACAATGGAGATATTCATAGTCTCAGTTTGACTCAACAGCAAACTATTCTCTGCCACATCATATAGAATGAGTTTTTCTTCTGTACAGAAAAGATGTAACCTCTTCTTCTGGTACTTGATTTCTCTATAGAATACTACCTGGTTAATTATGTTGAAATAAAACTCTGATTTATATTGCAATCCGATAAGCCCGATTCACTTCTACATCAGTCCATTTGATCCATCTAATCCATCTAATTCAAGGAAGCTATACTGAAGAAAATATGAAGCAACACAGAGGCAAATAATTTCTGATTAAAAGGATGTATTTACTTTAAATCAAAGTAATTTAAATCAGCAAGCCAGTCATTTGCATTGCACTTTATTTTTTTTCCTTTAAGAAATCGGGTTTTCATTGGTGTGCAGCCCTCTTGCTGTGATTATTACAGCTAAATATAACCCCTTACACTATACCAGTGTTTGTTTTATTTTGCAGAAGGGTGTGCAGTATATGTACAAATCTACATCACTTACTGTTTACTTACTCCCTCAAGCTCTTATTTCCTAAGCAGTTTGTTTTGCTGTCTAGCCAGCTCCAGGCTGGTTTTATTTGGCCAGTCAGGTTCGTGAGGGTTCTGCTCTTCCAGGCTTTAAAGATGTCCCATTCTTCTACCTTGCCCCATCTGAAGCCCAGGTGAGCTGAGGAGCTGGAGGAAGGGGCTGGTGGTGGGTGCCTCCTGGAGGAGGAGGAACCCAGAGTTGGAAAGGCAAGTTCTCCCTCTGTCTCTCCTGCCAAGGCTGGTGGATGCTCTGCAGAGCCTGTTTGGTTCTGGTGGTGCGTCCAGCAGATGCTCCCTGTTTGGACACTTGGCTGTGGCAGCCAACATGTGCAACTTAAGTGGTCTTTCTTGAATTTTCTTCATGTAACTGAGCTTGATCCATTACATTCAGCTAGGCCTGAAATGGCAGTGTGGGTTTTTTCCTAATTTAAAATATAGTTTTATAGGATTACTCATAGAACCATAGAACCACAGACCTGTTTGGTTTGGAAGGGACTTTAAATATCACCCAGTTTCAACCCCCTGCCACAGGCAGGGACACCATTCACTAGAGCAGGTTGCTCCAAGCCCCATCCAACCTGGCCTTGAGCACTGCCAGCGATGGGGCAGCCACAGCTTCTCTGAGCACCTTGTGCCAGCACCTCACCACCCTTACAGACAAGAGCTTCTGCCTAAGAGCTACTCTCAATCTCCCCTCTGGCAGGTTAAAGTGTCCTGTCACTACATGTCCTTGTAAAAAGTCCCTCCCCACATTTCTTGTAGGCCCCCTTTAGGTACTGGAAAGGCTACAGTAAGGTCTCCCCAGAGCCTTCTCTTCAGGCTGAACAAGCCTGCCTCTCTCAGCCTGTCTACATAGCAGATGTGTTCTAGCCCTTAGATCATCTCCATGACCCTCCTCTAGACTCGAGCAGGGCCATGTCCCTCTTGTGCTGGGAGCTCCAGAGCTGCACACAGCACTGCAGGTGGGGTCTCATGAGAGCTCAGTAGAGGGCAAGAATCACTGCTGGCTCTTTGGGCTGCAGGTGCACACTGCCAGCAAGTAGCGTCAGCTGTTTAGCTTAGTTGCATTTAAGCTCCAACTGAGAAGCCCCACTGGTGCCAGTGCTGCCTGACACTTACATTCAGCACCCAATGGCTGTGGGCAGGGCTCTTTCCTGCTCCTTCACCCCTCCTGCCCCCTTGCTGGAGGCACAACCAAACCAGCACCCAGCACTGAGGGCCGAAGGCGGCACCCACGCCCTTACGCAAGCCCATAAGGAAGCTGTAGGCGGGCATGAAGTGACTTATGAGGCTGAGCACCCGCCTGCGCCTGGCCTTCCCCTTGTCCTGGTGTGGAGTGAGCGCCTCGGTGGCCCTGCTGCAGGAGCCACGCACCCATGGCCTGGCACTGAGCCCCCTCTCTGCCTCACGGGGAGCCACAGGTACCCTGTGAGGGAAGTGCAAAGGGCTGTGCCTGTGCTCGTGGTTTCTTGGGGCTGCAGTGGGCAGGAAGGAAAGGGACGTGATGGCAAGTGCTGTGGCTCCTCAGGCACTGCTCCCCTATCTGTGTTCCCTCTCCTCCAGGCCCAGGAGCTACAGGAAGATGGTGTGCCTGCCCATCGCCCCACTGGCACTGGCGTTGAGGAGGTGGCTGGGGATCGGGCTCTTCGTGCTACTCTGCCTTAGTTTAGGTAAGCAGGAGATGCTGGTGTGGGAGCACAGCAGGGGTTGTGCTGGGCCACAGCACCCGTGTATGGGGCAGCAGGGGATGGCAGCCGCCAGGGCGCTCAGTCTGGTGCCTTTTGCCAGGGCAGGGTTTGAGGTGGCTGGCTCCGCTAACCACGGCGACGAGCATGGAGGTCCCTGGAGCTCTCAGCTCCCCGAGCCAGTCACACTTGCAGGTTCCCAGAGGGTGGTCACCCCTCCCACTGCAGTGGGAAAAGAGTGTTTTCAGGGCACCTGATGTCTGTGGGTAGCATGTGCTGCAGCCCATCAGGCTTTGGATTTGGTGGTAGAGTGGTTTCTTCAGTGTTTTGGATGGATAGAAGTGAGCATGCGGTGGGAAAGACAGGACAGTGTGACGGGTTGGAAGGCTCTCTGCTGCCCAGACAGCACAGGACACAGGGAGAGCTTTCCTCAGCAACACAAAGTCCCTGTCAGAGGACTGCAAGGGGCGTCCCCCATCCTTCTCTGAGGACCTGCAGCAAAACTCATTGAAGTCCACAGGTCCCTCCTGACCTCAAGAGGCTTGGGATGAGTCCTCCTAGCTGTGTGAGGTGTTAACCTTGCAACCACACAAAACTCACTTCTGAGCTGGGGTTTGCTGTGGGTGCAAAACAGGTTGTGCTTATCGGCAATGTTAGTGTCTCAATGTAGCTAATGATACTCTAGAGCAAACCTGGGCTGAACTGAGGCTTTGATTAAAAACCAAGTGACGCAAAATTTTCTTTTCATGCTGATGTTTTGAAACTGGGAGATATTTGATGCTGAATTTCATTTTGAGTTTCAGTCTCAGAATCTTAAAGCATAACTCTAATTTTAACAAGGATTGAATCACAGAGCTCACTTGTAGAGAAAGCAACCACCTCAAATGCTGCTCATGAGATCTCTGCTCTCCTGTCTTCCGCCTTCTCCAACCTTTGTGCTTGTGAAGCAAATATCAAGCACAGATGTATTTTGCCTGTACTGCGATGGGTGAACAATTTATCATGTGCAGAACTGTTTCTCTCTCTCTATTTGATGAGCTTGTGGTCTGTTATTAATGTAATTATAAGCATGTGGTAATTCACCAGTCATCTAGTTTCTCTAAAAATAATGCTGATTCCAAGGCCAAAACCCAGCAATACGTGGATATACAGTCTGATGCATGCTAATATACTAGAAATAGAAATTTGATAATAGAAAACCAGGTGTTCCTATAGTTGTGCTTTTTTTGATATGGTTTGCTAAATGAATGATAGTTTATCCTGCCTTCTCCCTTTGTGTCTTTTAAGCCAGCTTCTAACTTTGAAATCCCCAGCCCAGTTTCAACCACATTTGACAGGAAGGCAAATCTGGCAGAGATGCAGTGTCCTTGCTTGCTATATGGAAGCTGTTGGCTAGCCACAAGCAGCACCCCAGCAGCCAGATGCCATGGGGTGTACATGAGGGTGTCCTCATGGTGAGCTGACAGAAAGGGCAGAAGGCAGCTGAGAGGGGCCGTAAAGATCATGGTGGCATCAAGGGCTTGGGAATGGGCTGGGAGGCAGAGGGACAGGTGCCTGGGCTGGCAAAAATAATGCACAAATCTGTAGGCCAGCAGGAATTGGTCATCCTCTTGCTGAGAAGACTTACTTCTCCAAATCTATCAATTACAAAATCCTGAGGTTTATTTCTGCGGGGGGGGGCTATTCTAAAGCATTATATCAGCTTTTTGAGAATAATTGTTTGATGCTTCCCACACAATAAGTCAATGGAAGTGCTGGTGCCTCAAGTTTCTCAGCAGACTGGAAAGAACAGCACAGCCAATGTCATTCCTTTCTCTCTCTGTATTCAAGCAGGCACACCCTGACACCTTTCTCTCCAAAAAGAGGTATTCCTACATTTAATGACCTTTGAAAATATATGGTACAGTACCCACAAATGAATGGTTTTAAAAGCTTCACTGGGATTTGTAGCTGATGCCTTCCCTAGGTGGCCCACAGGGACCACAAGGTTCGACTTCTGACCTTGCTGTGGCAAAACAGTGAAGCCCTGGGGGTCTGCCATCTCCCTGCCATTGCCCTGCTGACACATTGTTAAGCAAGTCATCAAAGCCAGTATTTACAGAACTGACTCCACGTGGGACTGCTCATGTCCACATCAAAGCACAGTTGGCACCCAGAGCCTGTGGCTACATCTTGCATCCTTGGGTTTAGTTCAGCTGTCCTGGTGCTTGTACAGCTCAGAGCTGTACAGCTCCAAAAGGTCAGTTAGCATGCTAGGATGAAAGCAGGTGCTCTCTGTACAGCCTGTGGGAGTAAAATGGTAATACAGGGAAATGCAAGGCTGAATTTTCACATCACATCAGTAGAAGGCATGAGTGGGGGGCTTTATTAAAAAGGATTATTTGAAGGTTGTATTTCATAGGAAATTGTCTATGTCTACGTAGATACATGTGTTTGCCCTTGAACTGTATTCTGCTGCTCTGGGGTTCACCTGAGGTGACCCCTGAAGTGCCAGTGTAATTTAAAGCAGAGATGTTTTCTACTGCTGGAGACACTGATGTGCATGAATACCCTGCTGTCTCAGCACACTGGAAAAGTGGTAGAGCAGCCTTGATTACAGCACAAACTTATTTATTTATGGTCTGAACACATTGCCAGGCTTTTCTCCTGCCATTGCACATTCACACCTTCCAAAAATCTGCAGGATCTTCTCAGTCCCAGTTTGTTATACTAGGAAAATGTTGCTAGAAGTCCCTCAGTACAACCTTTCCCTGCCCTGTGCGCAAACACAGGCACAAAGCAATCCCAGCTTTGTGTCCATGGAGCACTCCTTTTAAGTTTCCCTAGAGTCTTTTCTTCTGACTGGGGACCACCTACTTCTTAGTTTCTTCCCAGTGGTGAAAAGTTTTGGGAAGTTTTGAGGAAAATCCCTACAGCTTTTCTGAGTTATTGGAGAGTTGGGGTGGGGAGGGAATATCCACTTCCCTCCTCATTGCTAGCAAGCACTGTCTTAGAGTAACTCACTCTCATAATCCCCACTTGCATGTTACTGCCAATAAAGCGTTTGGAGTGGAGCTGGGTTTCAGAAAAGAGGGCTGGGAATAAGAAAGATTCCTTGTTTCGTGGGCACCCCCCAAAACTGAAGTGTCTGTCAATGAGCTTTAGGGTGCTTATCATGTACTTCCTGTGTCCACTCTGGTATGGGTTCATGGGGGAGATGGCAGAAGCTTTTCTGTATGTACTGGATTTGCCTACTTGATCACTGGATGCAAATTGAGTTTCCATCTTATCGCTCTTGCTGCCTTCACCTCTTTTTTTACATTTCTGTTTCGGATGAGTTTCTGTCTCCTCCTGTTCCAGACATGCAGAAAATAAATGACTTTGGGTCAAAAACAAGAGCAGCGGAACTAAGGAACTCCTTTGTCTGCCTGTCCAGAGTGAAACCTGCTGTAACAGCTTGTCTGGGGAAACAGAAGCCCTACTAAAGGCTCCTGCTTTTGCTTATAGACTTTGTTGGAGTTTTTTTTAAACAAAAAAATTCTTTAGGAAAATAAAAATTAAATGTAGACAAGCGTCATTCTTGCACTGTCAAAATACAGCTCTACACCTGCATACCAAGTGTGTAAAGCTACCAGTCAAACATTCCTTTTACCCACATATTGTTTTTTTCCCAGTGAGATCAGAATGAACCCAGGTAGCTCCTGTGAGCTCACATTAGTCTGAAGGCAACAGCTTTTTTGCATTTCTTGGATCACTGAGACATTTGTATCCTTTTTGCAACTTGAATGTCAGACGTTCCTGCACTTAAACATGCAAAGTCTGGGGCTGAAGATTTTATGCTTTGCAGAGGTTACCAACAGAAGCTGCTGCCCCCTCTCTCCTGCTCATTGCTGCCTTGGTTCTGAGTTACAAGCATGATTTAATGGGCGTAATTAATCTGACATAAATGAAGGCTGCCACTGACTGGGTTATCCCCCTGCCTTGCCAGTGATAAGTTGGTTTTCTGCAGGGGTCAGCCCAGCCTCTCTAGTGCCAGCTTGCTTTTATACCCAACGCTGTGTACCTTGGAGGCTGCATGGCTGGGGGGGGCAAACAGTTTATTGCCACCAAAAGTTGCAGTCCTGCTACCCTCTCTTCTGCTTCTGGCTATGCAAGGGTCCTCTTCCTTGCACTGGCTCTAGTACATTTCTGATCCTTGGGTGGTCCAGCTTGCTTAGCAGAAAGTTTCTTTTTTTTCCCCTTGTTTTACACCAGTGTGGCATGTTGAACTAGCCTCTGAAGAGCCCTGCAAGGAAAGCAGTGGGAGGGAGCTCGTGTGGTTGGAAGAGAGCTCCCCAATGGGGAGCCAGATCCCCTCTGCTCATGTGGAGAAGGCCAGTTTGTCTTCTGGCTGCACCCACAGGTTGTACCAGGCTGGAGGAGAATTTCCATTCAGAGAAACCCTTCTCACTTTTAAACATGTGTGTCCTACTATAAGTGCTGCGCACATGTGGATGTGGTGTTTTCATGAGGTGGCAAGGCAAGCATGCTGAATGCAGTGAAGTCTGTTTGCTTGGCAAAAGGGGGGTGGTTTTGTTTGTAAATAGATAAACTTTATTTATAGCTGTTGTGTCCCCTTGGACAGGCATCGCCATCGGGAGCCACAGGAGGTCATTTGAGAATATGTAAATCTTCCCCAATGCAGAAATGCCACAGGCTTTATTTCTGCTTTTTCACTGTTATGCTTTTAAAATATCATTGTTCCCAGGGGACTCCCTGGATGAAAATAAAAGTGCTGACTGCTGGCTAACAGTGGCACTTCTGGCTATACTGTGCTCAAAAGGCATTCACCTTTTGGTGAGCCCAGAATGCTACTGTATCATAGAATAAGTTCTTAGAAAGACCATGGAGCAAGCCTTTGCGTGCACCACTACTCACGCCGTAGCAGGTCCCTCAGGTGTAGTTTTAAGCGCATGGCAGACAAGTATTTCCTCCCTGTGCCAAGGGAAGTGCATCAGTCTGAAGAG